GAAAGGACTGAATGAAAGACAAAGAAAAAGAGAGAGGGACAGACAGAGAGACAAATAGAAGCAAAGACAGGCATGGAAAAGAGAGAGAATTATATAAACGTCTAAGCAAGTAGAAGCAAAGGAAATGCGTTGACTATTTTACACAATTAACCAAGCGTGGTACGATAGAGAGCCTAGGCTATAAAGCGGAAGACCCCTGCCTTCATCTTCTTAATACCTAAGACAGACGTTTTCACGTTGTCTTCGACAACGTGCGGATTTGAATCTGTTGAATGAACGCCACTCTCCTATTCGTAGGCTAAAGGAGATGGAAGACGAGGCAGTTCCCTTTTTTTCAAGCTTTTGTCTGACAAGCGTAATATAGGTAACGGACGAGACAGTTTAAAGGGGTGCACAATTCCTCATCTTTCACCTATTTATCTATCGTATGCAAAGCGGATGGGAGACGTGGACATATTTCGCACTTAGTCAGCGTGTGCGTCTGCTCTGTAATATAGACGCTTCTTTTTCGAAAGGTTTGACTACTCAAGGCAACAGCGTGCCAGTTTAAAGGACGGCACCTTCCCTGCCTTCGTCCACGTTAGTACAAAGGGAATGAAGTTTAAACGCAGCACATTCTCGGGTGCTTAGAATAACATGGCATGCAAGATGAAGCAATGGTAGAAAAGCGTTTTCATATCTACCTAGTATCGGGTCTCTTATTTGATTAACGCTAATAAACCCGTCTATGCAAGCGGCCAATTTTTATGTTTATCGCTTGCCTAATGCGGCAGTGGCGTAGAGCATTGCTTTACAAGTCAGTGACTTTCGCAGGTTTTTAAAATCGCTAGCCGAATAAGAATCCACGGTATAATCGCGGGAATGCATTATGGATGGGATTGGAAAGACATTTATGGTATAAAGCAAACATAGTAACAACGAGTGAAACGACTTCAACTATCGCGCATTATAAGCTAATGTTATACTTATGCTAAAGAATAAATCATTATTGATTTATTCATTGCACGTACGTTTAAACGACATAACAACTTAAGTCAACTGTTATCAAATCCTCCGAAATGTTTGTCAATTCTATATGAACGTAAGCTTTAAAATCAGTAGAACTTGAGAAGAAAAAATGCTCTTAAGTTATTATGCCTTTTAGCGATAAATGTATTATTAAGTTTTTACGCAAAAAACTTTTTTATAGCATTTATACCAGAAGCATATTACGTCTAATGCTGTAGATTTAAATTAATGATAAGCAATTTATTTAATTCTTAGCTTAAAAAATATGCATCATATGAAATCTGAAAGCTTTTACAAAGCGTTACGTGCATTAAAATGTTGATTAAATTGAAATCTGAAAAAATAGTGACATTAGAGACTTAATTTAAGATTTATGAGCGGATTTCAAAAATTAGAGCAGAAGCTTAATCACTTAGAAACGAAAGAACGCTTTGCTATAAGTTATTAGACTTATGCACACACACACACACAATGCACAGTGTGTTTTATTCATACCGTGAGGGTGTATTAAATTTTGTCGCTTCATTATAATCGACAACGTTTGTGTCAAGTCAAGTTGCTCTATGAAATGTTAATATTGCAAAGCACTTTTGATCGTGCTGTAAGGTATACGCGATAGTAGTGGCATAGATTTAGGTTTATATTTTTTCCTTTAAAGCTGGTTGTGCATCTATAACGAATTGTGGAGAATTTGATTTTCTCTTTTCCCAGATATTACCACCTCGCTTGCGACCTAAATGCTCTTACTTTGTTAAGGACACTTGCAATTTACCTTCACATATATGTGAACATATATACATGCATGCATACATATATATACATGCATGCACATTCGCGCATATAGTATGAACAGTCAAATCTCCACAGATATCGGCAACGTGTACGCATACTTGCCTTGAACACACCTGATTCGACCTTCGTAACTCACGGCTTAAATAATACACATCAAAAACCCTTGCTAAGGAAGGGGGCAATCTCCAAACTCCTAAAGTGACAGAACGGAGATAGCAACCATTGCCGTCACTGCCAGCCGGACAAAGTTTATGCAACACTCCAATATGTAACGGCCTACAAGCATAGAAATTCCTGGAAGAACCATTCTAAGCTGTCAGGAAGGAGAAAACTAGAGGGAAACAAAGAACTCTCTGTGGCAATCAGGTAGCCATCATTTTTCAGAAGCCGACCTACGTTCTCAAGCCAACAAAATTATCATACTTGTTTTCAAACTTAGCTATAGTTAATGATCTTTCACCGATGAAGGTAAAGAAAAAGACGCAAAAAAGGCGAACAAAAGAAAGAAAAAATTCGATCGAAAGAATTGGATCCTGACGGCCGATATCGATAGTTCGCGAGGTATTATGCATGTGTGTTTAATTATGTTCGTGATATGTCAACTCAATTAAGAATTATGCCACTGACTGTGTGTTATGTGCTTGTAGAACAGCAATGAGATCAAGTTATACAAAACTATATTGACGCCACAGTACGAATCATTATCAATGCGTTTGACGAAAATATATTTGTTCGCCCATCCAGTTGTCGCACGTAATAGCACTGCACCGTCCTATTTATAAAAATATTCGGCAGTAAATTATCGTTTCAGTCCCTCAAGCTTCAAGTATATGTCATAGCAGAGAGCATGCAAGCACGCGTAATTATTCGTGGGATCCTGACCGTGATAAGTTAGGTCAGATACACATACCACATATGCACGATTGATCCATGACGGAACAGACTCTTTAAGAGCTTTTTTTTTATTAAGCCAGCCTATAGGCAAACATTAGGATTGGAATAGTATTATGCAAGGATAAAATATGGCTTGTTGTCAATTTCACACAGAAAGAACACACACGTGATTTACTGTTTCGTCCTTGTTTTAAAAGGTCCTTCCTAAGTCCTTACACAATCAAATACGGTTTGATTTAGGAAGTTTACTTTTTCAATCCGTTGCAATCTATCTTCTTTTACTGTATGAATGTCTTTAACTTCCTATGGAGAGCTGTTATAAGCAATCAACAAGAACCTTTGTTTCTAAGAGATGTTATGACGTCCATGGTACATAAATGTCGCCATTCTTTTTAGGGTTATGGCTATCGAAACATTACAATTTGCTTAAGTAACTTGTGAACAAAATAGCGTTTTGTAGTTACCTCTTGAAGTTGGGAATCATTTTTCATTCGCTTACCAAATGTTATTGAAAGCACACACGCTAGCCTTCATGATCATCAATTAAAAATGTACTCTTACGGAATGCCATCGATCAAGACAAATTTGAATGCAATAAAACGTAGGAAACAATGCTCAGCTGGCCATCGTTTGAATCGTTCAGATAGATCCACATGCAACAATGGAGATGTCATTGTAATAAGATAATAAAGTCCACATCATTTATGATCATTCGCTATTTCGCTTTGCTAAGACTTTAGTCTGAAAGAGTTTCTACGTTAGTTAGTAAGGCCGTTTGTGCCTCCGCCCACAACTATTGGTATTTCTAAAACGGCAAATATTAACTTTGCAAACGTATCCTTGGAACGATGGCAGCGATCGTAAGTTGCTCATAAAAACGTTCAACATAAGTTAAAAAACCAAAAAAAAAAAAAAAAAAAACAAAAAAAAAAAGCTTAAAAAATTAACTTTAATTAGCTTTAGAATATTTTTTGCAATAATGTGCATTTTATGCATAAACCTCATATTTGTTCGTTTAATGAATTTTTTCTTGAGCGACATTTTAACGCCGCTCTGCTTAGCATGGATTGCAAAAGAATTCATAAAAATGCAACAAAAAATTCATAAAAAGCCTAGAAGTGATTGTTGGTGGGTTTTGAAATTTTTCCTTTCAAGAGATGTTATCCATGATTATATGGATCTTTGACCTTTTTATCACCTTTAATAAGCGTTGGCAAAAAAATTTACTATTATTTATTATGTTTTATATTAAAGCTCAACATCATTGTGTTACCAAAGCATCATAAGGCATTATTTGCTTTTTATTTATTTATTTTTTTTTCACTTTCACTATCTAAACACAATCATTTGAAACATAAATATTAATTGTGTTCGTTGTTTCTGTTTCTATTTCCATATTTGTTTTATACTACGGTTATAAATAAGTGTAAAACAATCTTATAATCATCATGATATTGAATATATTTTTCAATCAATTTATTGCTGTAATGATAAACCATTTGACACCTAAACGAAAACCTTTATATCGTAGAAGCATGTAAACTGAGAGAAGAAAAAGAAAAACGTGCCGTCAAATAATTCATAAATTACTTCGTGAAGAAAAGCAAAGCGAAGAACGAACAAGCAAACCAAACGCATCCAACATGTTTTCATATTGAAATCTCACGAGTTTTATGAGTGTTCGCTAACAACTCAAGAGTCAGTCAGTCAGTCAGTCAGTCAGTCAGTCAGTTAGTCAATCAGTCAGTCCGTCACAGTTGACATGCAAAGCAGGTAAATACACGATTTGTTTCGTTCGTATATTTAAGTGAGTGTTTGAGTCTGCGTGTCTGTTAGGAAGTGTGAAGCCTTTGGTTTTAAATCAAATACTTATTATGCTATAAGCAAGTGATGGTAAAGTAGCTAAAGTAACATCAACTAAATTATAGAGTAATAATACTAGTAACAATAACACAACAATATTGTTGAACATAGTAATACCGAAAGAATATATAAATAAATAAATAAATACTCTACCGACTGCTGTGCATCTGAATTGACTGACTTTGAGATGATTAATAATTGCATGCTTTTGCATTCTGGCGCAGTTTGGTAACAGTAACAGTAACAGTAACAGTAATAGTGTAACAGTGTAACAGTGTAACCGAACGGAAAACAATAAACGTTTTCTTGCAAAGATCTTTTCCAAGGTTTCCTTTTACACGTCAACGAACAATGGGAATTAATTTTAATAAATTTGTTTTATTTCTTATTTTTCACACAATTGTTGCTATGTTTTTTTTTAAATTTTTTGTTACATTTTACAGAATATTACTGCTGTCGACGGCCATATTAGCGCCATGTTTAATAAATGCACATTTTCATCATTTCGGAGAGGCCATAAACACATCGCCATTGGGCTCAGAATGTGCGCTACTGCTCTCCGGGCCAGGACGATCCTCAGTCTATGATTACAATGTCAATTTGTTTCGCGGCACTTTGTAAGTATAATTATATCTTCAACATTTTATTTTCTTTTTCTTTTAAAAAATATTACGAAAAAAAAAAACTCGAAAAGCAACAATTCACTCTCATTACAATAATTAAAAGGAATTTGGCTTCTTCTTGTAATTCTCAGACTAATTAAAAACTTAACAAGCTACTGGTAATAAAGCCATTCACTCACTTTCAATGACTTCAGAACTGCATTTTTCGGAGACAGGCAGTGCTTAGAGTGGAAAATATTATGTAATAAAAAGTAGGGACCCTATAGTCGGCCCGATTTTTAGATATCCTACGCCGCTTCGCCTGGAACAGTTATTCACTTTTCTTGGTTACGCATTATTTTCTTGGATCATGTATACTTTTCGTGGAAGCCCACACGTTAGAGGAAGGCCGAAACATCACATGGCGTAATCCACATTTATCAAACTCAATTAACCTTGTAAAGATTTTGTTCATTTTCAGTTTCACTCATAAAAAACTAGAAATTGGACTTTTTTCTATATAAAGACTAGCTTATCATCATAACCCCTATATATTTGGTAGGGTCCGAAAAATAGACCTACGTAATCCAAATTCCCTACCCTTACTTTGCTTGCTAAATCACTACTATGGACAAATTTTCATCATTAAATGCTAGAAAGTAGAATTTTCTCATAAGACATCTTACATGGAGTGGAGTTCAAGGAGTAGACCCATCTGCTTCAAATTTAGTCCACTTCATTTTATGCCAAATTACTACCTTGAACAAATTTTCTTCATAAAACATCAACAATAAGACTTTTTTTATTAGCATTGAAAGGTCAGCATATCCTGAGAACTCTTATGTACGGTGATATCGAAAAAAATAGGCTTACGTTGTTCGAATTAGCAAGGTTGATTTCTATGTCAATTTAGTACATCAAATATTAAAAATCATTCCCTTTTATCATATAAAGATTCAGATAACTGGAGCATATTGGTCAATAAGTCCAGGAACTGACACATATATATCATCTCTTAACAAAATGTCCATACCATTGAGTGACAACTGTGAGAAAATTCCCTGTAAAAATACTAAGAGCTATTCTTGATAGTTGGATAGTGAAGTTGAACATGACGAAACGAAGTGTATTTATTAGTTTGAATGGAGATATGGGCCGAGGAAAACTTTCCTTCAAATGGATATCGCGTTTCTTCAAGATTGCAAAAAACGCACGGTGTGGTTACAACGGCCAAAACGCATGAATTGAAGTTTGAATTGCTGGCCCACCAGCAATCTGGACCAGGCCCTAACAACCACTATTTGTTTATAAATTTTGAAAGCTTGCTCTAGGGAACAAGCTCAGAATTAAGTTATTGACGTTGAAATCTAGTTTCAATTTTTTGACCAAGCATTCTATTAAAAAATGTTTTCATTATTTAGTCCCGAAACTTATTGACCAACGATTAAAATAAAATAAATAAAATTCATGCCTTTCGACTCGTGCATTTGAATGACAATGAGGCTGTTAAGGCAACAACACGCAACAATTCATTAGGATTTCCAGTGGCACCATTTGAGGTATGTGCCGCTGTTGTAGTATCACTTGGCGTTACGTAATACGCACGCGCACATTTCGACTAGTTTTGAGACGTTAAAGGGATTTCAAATTAAACACCAATTTTATCGTCAACGCACAATCATTATATGGCTATTTAAGGTAAATCTAGTTCATAGTTGAAATTGCTGTGTAATCCGATAAAGAGAAAAAAAAAAGACAAAAGGAGAGGGCCGAAAATAGAGATAGATAAGAAACAAGAGCAATTAAAAAAAAGCTGCTTAAATAATGCGCAATAAAAATACTGCATGAGATAGATAGACCGACAGATATATAAGCAATTACGAGAGCGGACGCCGCGCGTGTCAAGCAAACATCATAAAACAATTTTCGTAAACTATTTGAGACAAGTTATGTGTCAACAACATCAAGCAATTGCTACATGCGTTGATTTCTAAACAGTTCATGAGGGGTAGTTTAAGCTTAATAACGGTAACGGTGTGCATCTGTGTGTGTGTGTGTGTGTGTGTGTGTGTGCGTGCGTGTGCGTATACATAATAAATAGAAGCATTTGTCGTTGCATAAACAGGATTAACTTAATAGCTTCGCATAACGCTAGGCGCACATGCGTACGTCCGTACGATTGTAAATTTTTGTGTATTTTATACAAACTTCAAGTTGAACGCTAATAAATGCCAATCAATTACCCTTCAGTTGTGAATAGTGGATGTTTATGACGAAAACACTTGTATTTCTTAATTTTATTCAATTGCATGTTTTTACATGTTCGAGGTCACATTTTAACTCTTTTCATTTATTTATCTTTTTGTTTTTATTTTTTTTTTTATTTTCTTCTCTTTATTCATTTAATTTTTATTTTATTTTTACAATTTCCAAAAAAAAAAAAAAAAAAATATATATATATATATATATATGTTTTCTTGGTTTTTCCGGTATTAAATATTTCAAAGATTTCATTTATGTGCATTCGTATCAACTGATACATATGTGTGCGTGCGTCTATGCTTGTATATATGTGCGTGCAGGTATTTCATTAATTTAAATTACGTATTGGTTGTGTTACTGTTTTTTATTAAAACTTCCTGTAAGATCGGGTTTCACTCGATGTATAAATATTTTAGTTTTTTTTTTCGGCAATTTTTTTCTGTCCTATCAGATGTTTGGATATATTAAGTTTATCGTACTGGTACTTCACGCAAAAAAATGATCCCACAAACTAGATCAATAACTGCAGGAATAATTTGAAATCTGAATGTTATGCGCCTTTGTTAGTTAGTTGTTAGCTGCCCCGTCCAAGAGAAACCAAAAAAGTGAAGCAGAGATGTCAGAAGGCTTTGTGCTCTGTTTTTTTCTTTTCAGATGAAAAAATGCAGCTTGCAAATACGCCTACACGTAACTTGATGGGTATCCAAAATTCGCTTTAAGGCGGATAACCACTTTATTACTTGTTTTCTTTTTTTTTTATTATTTTTTAACATCCATTTTAAGTTAAATCTTATTTTAATTGATCGTAAAGAAACAAATCAACAAATATAAAAACATGTGCGTGTATTCATGTTATTCTCGGATGTCGTAATATACGAAAACATAACCAGCCTCAACCAAAGTTTAACTTGATTTTCTACATTAAACCGCCTCACAGGCATCAGGCCACCAACACCATCGCCCATTATTATCGTCGTCGTCATCATCATTATTGAGTGCGTACGTTTTCTGCTATGCATGGGTGTTACCGGCACCTGTAGTCACAACTACTTCGATCCTATACAATAACAACGACAACAACCACCAGAAAATATAAACGTATCATTCTCTTGTATCTGCCTTGTTGTTGATCAACCTGCCAAAGTAATATGATTATATGGACCCCTGTTATGGACAAATGAAATATTTACTGTATGTACGTATACGCACTTGAGTGCTTGTCAAGTTCAAGCACTTTTTTCTGCACAAAATAAAAGACAAAAAAAAACAAAAAGCAAAACTAACTAAAAATACATAAATCTGTCAGTAATCACAGGAAAAAGTTATTATTACTTTTTATGTGTGATATATGGATATAAACATACTCAGCCATACAGAAGTTGGCCTTAGTATGTAGACATTAGAAAAGAATGGTTTAGAGAGAAAACGAGAGGTCATGATACGAAAAGGCAACTACTTAGCATCAAAAATTGGAGGTGAGCAAGGCCGATTACCGAATACCCTTCCCATTTTATTTAAAATATTTACTTATCTATTTCGTACTAAAATACCAAACATTACACTTTATCACGCTGCGACAACTTACTTCTTATGTGAACCCTCCCTTATACTGAGAATTGTCCGAAAAGTAGGCCTATATAATATGAAGAACTTTTATCGCGATCTCTAATCTCTAGTTTTCGCCAACATTTACCCTATGACCACATAACCTTTTCTTTCTCTCTTAAAAAACCTAACTCCTTATAAAAACGTTTATAAGAGTTTATAGTGATAATTAAAATAACAATCCCTGCCATGTTCCATATTTCCCGAATCCGTTTAGCGTACTAAGCGATTGGTTTCTATCAATTTTTGTCGGGAATAGTTAAACAGAAACTTTTATTTTTTATAAAGTGGATATTAATACATCATCGTAATGAGTTTCATGAAAGTATCCCAAAAATTATGGCCAACAATACGGACAGAGAAAATGATTTTGAACAGTTTGTAATAATATAAGAGCATTGGATAGCAGATGGATAGCCATTTTGGGCCTCTTCTGGTCTCTTTGCTTGTACATGACCTTCCTTAATATATTCAGAATTCTACAATTCTAGTATTTTCAGATGAAAATCTAGCGATTGGCTTATATGTAAGCATCATTTGCAGGATGATTGGAATAATCTGGTCACCTGGCCGGAAATTAACGACTTACGAGCAAATGTAAGCATTTGCCATTGTTCTCGATAAGCTTGCTGCCTATGTCGTACGTACGTTCTGGAGTGTTTACCGTACTTAGAAATCATCCTTGGCGCGAAGCTGAAGGTGACCGTGCATATTGAGGATTCTGTTAATAAAACTAAATCTCTTCTGAGTTTCATTAAAAGGGGGTCTAAATAGTTTGATGATCAGATTATTAGACCAATCCTAGAGTGTTTAGTCGTGGTGTCGATACCTATGTTATGGTTGCTACCTGGACCTTATTGAGTCCGTCGAACGTCAATTTCTACTTTGCTAACTAGCTTTGCTCTCTAACGTTTTGCGTTGCGTAGCCCGGCTTAGTATCCGTCAGTGGCGCTAAGCCCGTACAAAAACAGGTTGAAGCTTCTTAATTTACCAACGCTTCAGTCAAAAAGGGAAATGTTCGGGCATAGTACATATTGTTAAATAAACCACGGGTGATATTTCCACTTCGCCCTTATTGGATCACGACTCCTTCAATGTTTCGTCAAGGATTTTAAGACCAAATGAATTTAATATACGGCCTTCTATAATGTCATTGTAACGACGTTAGACAAGCAATAATTAGGAGGTTTTCAGATACGGATCGGCAAACGCTTGCACAGCGTACAATAAAGTAAACATTTTTTAATTGTTTTTTTTTTTTTAAATTAAATTACTTTGAGTTACATGACTCATTTTCAGAAGTCTGTATGTGTAAACAAGCGCAAAAAGGTGGCAGTGCAGACTCCGAAAATCCGAGGGACAGATCCATTCTATTGGTAACCTCTCCAAAAACAACGAGCGATAGTTTGACAGGACTTATGGGTTGGAAGGAGAATCGCTCCTCGAAAATGCTACCCATTTGATGTTTTTCCTTCATCCTAAAATTAATGCTTAGGGTGTGGCGGACATTTACTTTCATCAGAATGATGCTAACTGCCATATATTGCCTAAAAACAGAGATAACTTTTGTCGTTGAAAAGCCCTACATATATCTGATCTCGCAACATAATTTTCAATATTGATAGACAAACACTTTCATTCTTTCGCTTCCTCTACACATTCAAACCTGACAATCTTTACAAACGGTTGTTTGAAATGTATTTTTTGAATGTTGTTAAAACCCGAACAACAATTGGTTATGGCACAAGTCGTGGGCACTTTCCCTTCATTGAAATAATTTAAAAAAAAAAAAAAAAAAAAAAAGTAAAGAAAACTCGCTTTCTACGCAATTGTTGTAAGTGAACTGGTTGGTCGGCATCTTTGCAAAGCAATAAAATAAACAATTACTTTTTAAGGAAAAGCATAGCAAGAAAATGCATTTTCAATGTAAACCGAATACAAAATTAAACGTTTTCCGAACACACAATTTTACTATAAAATCATAAACATGTTCGCTTAGCGTGAGTTCACCCTGAGGTCTACTATCGGTCTGCAAATTGTTTACGATATTTTAAAGCTTTCATAGTCTTATAGGCAGAGCAGCAACAATAAATAAAAAAGGTGAAGGTTTTTAAAATTTATGCACAAAGGAAATATTTATACTTATAACTTTACTAACAAACATATAAACGTACAAATAATTGCTAACAAAGACAACTCACGACCATTTATTTATTTATTTATGGAAGAAACTAGATTTTTGTTAATAGTAACAAACCAGAGGTCAATATTATTTCAAGTAGCAATTGACATTTTTGGCCATCGATCATGATGAACACGATCGGTAAGCCAATGACTATTAAAAAAAATAAAAATAAAAAAAATTAAGAAAACAAATAAAATAACCTTAAAGCGAAACATTGACATTTAGAAAAGTGGTAAAGATTTCAATAAGTTTTTTAAATTTTATTTAGTCTTTTTTTTGCTTTTTCTCCGTTTAATAAGAACATTTGGAAGTTGAAACACCAACGCAAAATCTGCAGTGAACGACATAAATATATTGTATATGAATAAATGAAAAATATTTTCATTGATTTTTCTATGCATAACATGTGTTTCCTCTGTTTAGAAACTGCGCTGACGACAAGAGAGACAACAAGCTTTAGCATCGTCATCGTCATCATTATCATCATTTTAATGATCATTAAAAGCATAATAATGATTGCAAGATATTTTTTGTTTTAAATCTTTAAGCATATGTTACTATCATGTGATGTAATATAGTTTTTGTATAACTTTGTAGTAACACATACACGTACACTTACACATATATGTATATCTGATGTATTTTCGACACTCGAACTCAACTGTTATGTCTTTCAATTTGTTGTCGTTCATATCATATATAAATAATATTAAAAATAACTCTAGTTGCTGTTGTTTTTGTTGCTGTCGGCTCGGTTACTGACACTCACGGTTTATGCAATTATTTATATATTTTCTTAAGATTATAACATATGTAAGCATATCTCGTATTACTTAGCGCAACATCAATTTACATATATATACGCTTGCAATGCTATGTAGATGTGGTTTTAATTTTCAACTTTTATGTTTTTCAATCATATTCCGCACCTATAGTTAAACTTATAGCTCCGGGTTGCACGAACGTCTGATGATACCATCTGTTTGTATCCAAGACAACTACGTATATAGAAAGAGGAAGTTTAGCTGCATTGTTCCCTTAACTTCAATTTTCTACTTACTGATATCACCCTCTTCTACTAGTGCCTCAAAGCTCGAACAATGGAAATAGCATTCGGGTGGCGGGGCTAATAGCCAACGTTTGCTACCCGCTAACTGAGCTTGCCAAGATGGCAAACGTACATTATCTACCTGAAATTATTTGAAATAAAAATCGCTTCTCTGCTGATTCGTCTTTGCCTTTCGTCGAAATTGTTAGCCTTCAATTCACATGTCAGCTTAGGAAAAATGACTCCATCACTTTGCATTATTTCTGATCAGTCGAAGTAAGCCTAATCGTAGGAAGGCGCAGTAGTGTTCCTTTTGCTACCTTTTTTCTATTTTGTCTTCGTCTTTTTCTTAATGTTATTTTTCCTTCGTCTTGATCTTAGACTACACTCAAATGTGTCGTCACGCTACAAAAGCCTTTGAAAATTAATACCGCGATATTTGGTTTCCATCCGCGTTTTCGTTTGTGAAGCACATTGGTGGAAAAATTCCACCCACATTACCTCCCCTTCTATTCTGCCTTTACATTAATCGTCGTCCATAAATTTTGTTCATCTTCTTCATTATCTGCAACCATCATCTCAACTTACGTGTGTGTGCACAACAAAGACTTTCTGTGCCCCCAAAAAATTTATATATTTTGAAACTGTTGTTGTAGAAAAAAACTATTGTCGCTCAAAAGTCCTTTCCGTTTCTATACACGCATCTTCAATCTTTGCTGTTTCCGATCTCGCCTTCATCTCTGCCTGTTCATCCCAACTACCATATAGTTACTTAAGAGGGCACATATTATCGTCCTATCTCTTTTTTTTTCGCCTTTAAATGCATTTTCGTCCGCCTGTATCTTGATCCTGCTTGCAGACGTTGGCACCTTTGTTACTCTTGTCAATTCTGTCTAGGGCGTTATTTTCTAGAGAAAGGCAGACAGACACAAAGTAATATCGCTTATTTCTCTTTGCTTTACTTTTTTCCGTTTTCTTCACTCTCGTCTTCCCTCGGTCTTTATCTACATTTGCAGGACATGTCGTTCACATATAAGATACCACTTTCTAGACGTTACGGGTAAAAAAAGGAAGCGTCGTCACAAAGTCGTCCTCTTTTTTTCTATCCTTCTCGTCAGCTTCGTCAAACTCCACCTTGCTTCCAAGTCTCAACTTACATGCATTTGTGCGCCTAAGCCTTCTGTGCCCATGAAAAACCAATCTATAGGACTACTTTCTGACAATTCCGGTAAGAAATACGGACGTCCATAATGTTGGCGAAATTCCTCTGCTGTTTCGCCATTGCAATTACTCCAACCGAAATACCAGGGCTCCGGTGACTCTCCTCTCTGCTTAGCTTTGTAAAACTCGACTCTTTCAGCGGGCATATCTAAAGCCTCATACAGATGACGAAAACCCGTGTTGTACGGTAAGAATTGACAATCCAGCACTTTTTCTCTGTTCTTAGCTCGATTATAAATATCACGAAAGTACCAATAGTTGAATTTCTTAAAGAAATAAGAAATTCCTGAATCAACAAACAGTGGATTTCTGTATATTTTGGAAGTTACCTCCAAAGCTGTCCAATTTGTTGTAGCATCTTCAACAATAACCGGTCTACCAGAGTAAGCGTATCGTTCAGTGAATTCTTCAATGCTTATATCTCTTACATGTTCCATATGTTTGACTTGTTTGCAAAACTCACAATTCTCGGGAGGACGAAAAGCGTAACGCATTGCTTGTGGCATTAATAGCGAACAATGCTATAATTTTAAACAACTTTGAGATTTATTAACAAACTCTCTACGGCTTTACTAACCTCAGTACGCAAATGGCCATAATAGTAAATAAGAGCATATATGAGCAGAGATATTATCAGAATTGCTTTAAAATAATTCCGTTTCTTTGGTTTGCAGTTGTCGTGTTCCTTTAAAAACTCTCTTACACATTTCAATTGATTTACTTTGACGCCTTTTGCTTCACATTTTTTCAATAAGTTTTTTAATTGTTGCTGCGCGCAAAACATATTCAAGCCCGTTAGTTGAACTAAACTAAATCAAAACCGAAACAAGACTGAAGAGCAGGACTAAAGTGATACATAAGGGAAGCTGATAAACAACACGACACGCCGAAGAATCCTTTGAATTATTGATAATTTTATTATCTGATTGAGCGCAGGGAGCATATGTTGTTGTGTGAAAAGTAACAATGAATTTAGTCTGAATGTAAAGTCTGTTTATGAAATGATAAGACTTGAGGAATTGATTTTCATTTTAATTTTTCTTTTCTCTTTTCTTCCCCTTACAGACATCCTTTTACTACAGACTCTACTTGCATTACTTATGACGCTGTTAATGCGGCCTATTTGGATGCGCGTAAAAGAATACGTAAGCAAAAGAATCGTTTCACTTTTTTTTCCAATTTATGTTGATTTATGTTGATAAACACTACTAACCGACGCTGAAGAGAACATTATTTATTACCCTGATAACATTAGAGTTTATAATCTACACGGCTGACAGTACAGCGTATAAAGCGTTAAGAATACACGCAGATAAGACTAGATTTACTCTCTAAATCATTTTGAAACTCTCTATGTACGTGCGTCCGTCTTTTCGACCCATAGATCGCCACTTTCGCATTATCCTAATGAAATTTGGTACACTGAAATGTCCTGGCGCAAATAAGAATTCTTTGAATAATGAACTGGATTGGATTGGTTTTGCGAAGTTTCCCAGGAAAATGCCGTTGTTTTTCAAACATCCTTGCAAAATGCTTTGGACAGTTTAATAGCCGGCCTTGTTCCTTCTAACGCCTTATGATACTCCACTGAAGCCTTGAGAAACCACAAGTTGCCCGTATGCCTGTAAACAGTTAATTGCATACGATCTGTGTAAATATATACGTCATAATCCATCCATCCGTCATTGTCCGTCCATCCGTCATAGTCCGATTTTTTCATAAAACTTTATCACTACGAACATATATTTATATCGCAACCAAATTTCATATTACATGTACTCTGTATTTGACGAGTGTGCGGAACATCGCTAAGAAGGACGACACAACTCAACTGGTTAAGTAAACTTGTCTAACTGACTCGCTACATCCATCGATCTTCTTTTCCACTGTTATTGGGTTAAAGAAAACCCGTTAAATGCAAGGTTTCAGCTTCTATATTCGCTTTTCAAACCAGAGGTATAACAAAATATAAAATAAACTCAGTAGAAAAGTAGATTTTAACCCTGAGAACACCAATGCCGTCATATAAACCTAATTGTGGACTGCTGCTTACTGCGTTTAATTCCGCGTACATGGCACGAAAAAATCGAACTTACTTAAACAGTTGATGTTTCCTACTGCTTTTGGCTTCTTTTATCGCGGTGTTACACTTACACATGCTTCCATGACTGAACTCTTTCGCATATCAAGTTGAATAGTTTTAAGGAACAGTTTAATATGGATGTAACAAGAATAATTAGGAATCGACCAAGAACTCTGAGAGTGTACTTAATTTTTATTATAATGATTCACGCCTCACGCTTCCTCTATAAATACCTCTAAGAACCATTAGAACCCTTATGAATTATTGCGATCGAAAGAAGAATTTACTTAACAAGTTGAAATTTCTTACAACCACTCTTGATTTCTATTATGGCCTTGTTACGCTTACAGACCCTTCTATGACTGAACTCTTTTCCATATACAATTGAATGCTTTTACTCTCTCTCTCCGTACCTATATAAAATTATACGCGTCCAGGAAGGCTGCGGCTGTAATTAATTTTTGCTTGGATGGATGATTGCTGCAAATTTGATTAAGTTTGCGTATATTTTATTTATAATTAAACATGAGTTATTTGGGTGATTAGATTTTTTAAAGCTTTCGCTTTACTGCGCAAAATTGGGTCAAAAAAATGTATTGCATATTTCATGATTTTCCAAGTAATCCCATAGCGATAGGCATGTTACATGATGCTTGCCTATAGCTGCCACCTGTTCCAAATATTTCATTAGCAAATTATAGGTTAGCTTAAGAAATGTAAATTAAAAATTTTATATAAACTACTCGTGTAAATAAAACATGATGAAAATTGCAATTTGTGGTAAATGATGACGGCGGGGTGGAGGGAGGAGGGGGGAGGGTTTTTTTTAAAAGATGAAATCTGAAATGGTTTTTCTATTATGTTTTTTTCACGTTTGTCTTCTTCTTCATTTAGATATTTCGCAGCCAAAGGGTGATTGGAAGACAGAAGATATAGCTACCGTAGGCGAGCTGTTATTGGATATTTCTATACAATTGGCGAGAACGTAAGTCTATGAAAATTATTTGTTTTTTAAGCAATAAATTAATAAAACTTATAAATAATAAAATTTGTTTTATGTTTATGCTTAAATCATTTATCACTTATCTGGCCCATAATATTTGTCAGGTCGACTAGGCAGGCAGCGTATATTTTTTATGTATATGTACCCATTATTTTTATATAAATTTATCTTTAACGTATCTAAGGCAAGTGTTGTTTGCTAGCTCGTTACTGCATTTATAGCACATTGTTGTAATGTTTTATATACAAATATATACATATGCAATATGTTGCAAGCCCACAGGCAGTAAATTTTGTTCAAATAGTATCAATAAAAATTTTTTGAAAGTTTCGCTTTTGTCTATATATATTTAACTTCATATATAGAAAACTTTTCAAAGATAAACTTACGCGTTTTGTATTACAAGTTACCATTAAATTTTTTTTTCTCTTTTTGCTCTTGCCAGAAGTTCACAAACGAACTTGCATGTTATAGCATATAATGGAAATAGAATTTTTTTAAAATGACTAAAAATTATCCTCAGGGAATATTAGTTGTCTATGGCGTTAGTTTATTAACACTACAAGGTTTTCTGTTGTTAATTATAGATAAAACAAAGTTTGCGCAATTACAATTAACTTCTGCAGTTCACTTCGAAATGGTCTTGATTGCTATCATTACTAAATTGTAGTCATATATATATATATATATATATATATATATATATTGTAATATTTTTTGGGGTAAGTCAAACCTATTTTCAAACTAATTTAGCACAACTAAAATGATTGTGCCATTGCATGAGCCTAATAGACAACTTTTCTACAAAACTAAACCATTATTTACAAATTTGTATCGAGCTTAGTCTTTTTTCTAACAAGATTTTTAAAGCTCCAATGTCTTCATATCTGCAAACTTTAAGCGTTCAGGCTTAACGTCTTGTGGAGAAGTAAGAGCCTTACGAAATAGTGAATAGATACATGGACGGGCGAACGGAAATAAGGACAGACTCTTGAATAGTCAGATGTACAGACCAGCAAGCAGCGGACAAGCAGAAAAGAGGCGGAAAAAGGACAGACCTATGCGCGCACTTACACACACATAAGAGAGACTCCTGGGCGAGCAAACAAGTTGAAAAAGGCATAAAGAAATGGCCGGACATGGGGATAGACAAATGGACAATGGAAGACAAATATCATAGATAGCAGGAGAGGAAGGAAGACGGACGCGCTACACACGAGCTGACGTGGCGACAAATGCAGATCTAATGCCAGATGAGAAGAAAAACGCCAATGTCATAATGGTATACAAACAAATGGAGAAGCAAACGAGCATGATTTATCGAAGCAACCGCTGATTGATTATGAGAAATAATGTCCAAGTGTTAGTGAGACAGTATTAATATGCTTGCATCTAACTCTTAACTATTTGGGTAACGCTGTCTAACCTATTTTATAGGTTACAGTTAAATAGAACATTTTGTGACATTTAATTGCTATAAAGAAAAATGTGTGCTTATGTGTTGCTGATTTTCATATAATTTGTGTTATTTTGAAATTGATTGAGTGGTAAGTGTATCCATTGCATAAGATACATGGAACATTTTGAAAAGTGTTGAAAACTTTTGTACACAACAGAAACATACCAGTAGAGCAGCAGTAGATACATAATTAATTTTATAATTACAACTAAATTCGAACAACAATAGCGAATTATAATGAAATCAATAGTAATTGGAAATAAATAAGTTTTAAAATCGTTATAGTTGTTTGCTTACTCTTTGTTTTACTGCTTACAAACGGTTTTCAAGCATATTTCGGGTCGAGTTAATACTTGACATGAAGGAAAATAAATTCGCTATACACTGCTTACTGAGTCATGCACCTTATGACGCTGTGTCATGATGTCAGTGTTATTAGCCCAATCAATAAATAAGTTTTTGATGGTTTTAAAAAACCTTTGAAGGGAATTTTTGATCGAAATCCGATCAAAATATGTTGAAACATATTTTATAATAGCAGCAACAACACAGAAAAGCTGATTTTTGGAATTATACTCCCTTATAAGAGTAGTTGTCTGTCTATGTGGTAGGATACAGCTCTTTATGCCAATTTTTACGACTGTGAGAAGTTCTTCTTTCATATATACCCCTGCTGCGATTCAGCATCTATCAGGTGTGGATCGACTTTTTTAGAAGACGAACATCGATGTTTGAGAGCATTTGTTAGGTTGCGGCTTCATCGCCTCAAAATATTACCTCTTTAGATGTACGCACGAGCATGAGCTATCTGCTTGTACACAAAGCCGACCCTATGCTAAAAAAATGGCAAACTCAGGATACTTTATCGTCCGGGTTAATTTGAAGGAAAGCACTGCTGCTTCATCTATGGTGCGCGCACCATGAAACCATGAGATATATTAGGCAAATATTAATTTCGGCTGCTCCGCTCATGCTTCGATGGCATCGAGAAAGCAACAGGGATTCAAGCACTGATGTGAATCGGTAACCTATTGTCCGTCTAATCAAAATTTCCATTTATAATTCATTTTGTGGATAGCCTCAGAAGACCACTGAACTTTTTCGAATGGCACTCACATTTACCCTAAAGATGTAATGGCTGATTCGAGTTAAATGAAATCTTAAATAAAGAATTTTTTGTCATTAAATAAAGCCTATCTTTAAATAAAGCCATTTTCGATAAAAAAAAATCTTTCAAAAGGGAATTGTTTCTACAACACTTCTCTATAATAACGCTAAAGGTGACCTCAAAAGTGTATTCTTTGTAACAGTATGACAACACTGGTCTATTGTCAATAAGAAATGTCAAATATTAATTTATGTTTTCCTTTTTATTTTCGCAAATTTTGGTTTTAATAGGGGTTTTTTCGCCACTCATCTAAAGGCAAACTCCAAAGACTTTTTAAATGTTAGTGATTTTTCGAAGAAAAAAAAAAAACTCCAATAATCTTAAAAACAATCTCCTTCAGTTACTTGTTAAATAATATTACATCACAGTTTTGCTTTGATTGGAGAGAAAGAAAAAACTTACAGTCTCTTCTTCTTCGTCTTCGTCGTCGTCATGATCGTCGTTGGCTTCTTCTTTTCCAATGCAAGCAAAAACCTTTCACTTTTATTTCTGGAAGATGAAGTAGATCCACATTTTTGACTTGCAGCACACTTTTTATTTATAATGACGTTTGAAATTTATTTACAACTAAACTAAAACTAGTAAACTAGTTTTGCTTTTCCAGTTTAAAAAAAAAAATCGCTGGTAAGAGATGCGCACAGATCTTCGCTGAGATAATTATAAATTAATATTTAATAGGGTTTCATTAAAAGGTGTCATAGTCACGTTTTTATGATCTTTAATTGTCATGATTGTATGAACAACACCACCAGCAGCAGTGGCAGCACAAGCGTATGGAAATATATTGCATGCGATTGTTATATAAAATATGGTAACATGTCACGTGCTAAACAAAGTCTTTATACTCCTATTACTATTTATGCACTATGTGCATACATACACATTTATGCACATAGGTGTGTATTCACCTACGGAGGTGTTCTTTTTGAGGCACGATTTTCTTATTTTTCTTGAAAAAATTGTTACAATTAAATTGATTGAAAACATGTTCCCCAGCATATACGTTGCGCGTTACATAAGTAAAAACTGGGTTTCTCCGCTTGTGTTGAATTCGAGATGTGCTCGAGGGGCTTGTATCATTTATACAAATGTTTTAAGACTTTCGTTTTTTCTTTTTTGTTTTTTCTTTTTTCTTGTCTTAATTTATTGTTCGGTTTAAGAAAGCTTAACGGGTCCGCTATACTAGTTCATACTAGATTTTTCTTCTGACATTCTTCTAGGACACCAAGCTTTAAAGAGTGAGAAATTTAAGAAGAAGAAATTGATCGCCTTTTTTTACTAATTATTACTTTTTTATTAGTCATTAGTACAACGTCGATCATTCAATTCAGTACAACATATCGTTTATGATGCCAGAAGAAAGTATAGCTCGTAGATCCAACAAACTGCATATATCTCTTCAACCAACCTTCAAATTTACAGTAAGTTATGATAACTGAGTGAAGCTCTCGTTTAAATAACATTTAAACCTATTTTCTAATAAAGCAATGGCCAACTTTCGCTCCCTTTGCCTTACCGCTTATGTTAGATTAGATTAAAAGACACGCTTTTTGGAGAGAAAACCTTAAACATTAGAATAGAAAGTATTCTTAAGGGCACTCCCTACAACCACATTAAATTTGTCCATAAGCTATTTCAACATTTTGAAAGTTGCGGGGGCATATAAAACTTTGGCTTCTGTTATAAGATGCGAATGAGCGAATGAATAACATATTCAAACTACTGCTCATTCATAGCTGCACATCTGCGGAATATGAATTCCGTGCTGAGATTTTTTCGGTTTCTTGTTCGCATAGCCCGCCTTCGAAGCAGCGTGCTTATACGAGTCTTTGTCGTCGTTTCTAATGTCCCCCTATTCAAGTCGAACGTCCGCAAACACACTGCTCACTTTTCCGGCTTCCTCTGCATTTTAACTCCTTCTGCGCCTTATCGTGTTTGCACGTGTGTAGGAGAGATCCTTTGGATGGTCGGTAATTAAGAAAGGAGGCAACGCATTGATTTGTTCTTAGACTAGCAACGTAGAGAGTACAACTCACTTTTGCCACGATAGATAAGTGGAATGTTATTAAGTCGAATGTATGTTTCAACTATCAAAACTGGAGCCGACTTATTGCTAATTTTTACAACATTATACACAACCTTTGAAGAACATTTCTAGAGCGCTAACAGAGAAATAATTTCTTTCTGAGCTAACGAATGCAATCCTTGCGAGGTACTGTACATGCCTTTGAAATCGTCTAAGGGTAATGCTTAGGAACCGTGTCCTCCTTTGCTTTATCAGATGGATCGGTCAAATTTTCATCTGCATAAGTAAAGCGTGCAGATCGTTAAGAATGAGTTTCAATCTCCAGAAAG